TTTTTTTTTTTTAATTAAAGCTTTTGAACCCCATGTTCGGGCTCATTCAGCTATCAACAAAACGAGAAAGAGTAGTTCGAGTCAATTTCGGCTAGTGGCCAGTTTTTACTGAATATCTCGGAACCTAAGGGAGATAGCAAAATTTTTGTTATGACCTTTTTTGTGGAGCCAATTGAGAGCTATAATAAAGGTGATTACGAAAATTGCGCTAACTCCCTTAGATTCGGAGATATTCCCAAAAAACTCAACTGGGAGGTGAGTGGACTCGAACCGTTGTACCACTTGGCTACTAAATTCAGGTGTTTGATGAATTACCATCGGTCAAGACAGCCTCCACCGACATGTTCTGTTCCTGGGCGATATTTCCGATGGTAGCGAACGCAAATATCCCGACTAAAAGACTAGTGAACGCGTTGATGAGGGACACAGCCACCGTATCAACGAGAATATTATTGTGAAATTTGTTGTAACTAGCGAAACATATCATCGATCCGAATGCTATTCCCACTGAGTTAAATATTTGCGCAGCTGCGTTGACCCAAACCTACGGAAAAATATACCCTTGTGATCCAATTAGTGTTATGGTCTATAAAAAATACGATTAGATGTACGTTGAATTGGAGGGGGAATGGGTCTACTGCACCTTGGCGTCAGCCAGCAAGTGCCACCTGGGGCGAAAGAAGAATTGCAAGCCCTTCTCGGCGCCCTCGAGTGTCAGGGAGCGCGTCAGGAAGACGAAGATGAGGAGGAACGGCAGGGTCGCTGTCAAATATCTGACTTGGGCTGATGATTTTATCGATTTCCAGATGGAAAAGTAGACCAACACCCACGCCGCCACCAAGCAAGCCACTATTTCCCATCTCAATATCCCTGGCTCCTCTATCCCTGAACTTACTTGCAGGACCTTGTTGCTGAGTATTTGAAATAGAATTGCGCATGAAAAAATTGAATGGAAAACCTTGCGTATTCGCCAGAATATTCTATTGGAATTCTATAGGATTTCTGTTGGAATTCTGTCTCGCCATCGACTTACGGAGTTTTTTTTTACAAATGGTTAATTTTTCATTACTGTCTTTATTTTGAGTATGCATTATTTGATCTTGTAATTGGCCTGTGCTGTTGGATCTTTATGAAATAAAAATGAAAATGAATTCTATTGAAAAATTGTATTGGTTTTTTACGCTGATTCTGTTGGATATTCAGTAAGAAAAAGTCAATAGATTGCGTATTTCTGTTTGAATTTTTGCTATTTGAATTATTGGGCACAAATTTTCCAAGTTTTTTCCCCTGGATTTTGTTTCGTTTTTCATTGCAGAAAAAAATTGAAACAGAAATTTGAATTCTATTGACTTTTTCTTATCGAGTATTCAGTCACGAAATAAAATACTTGAATTGAGTATAAAATATACTTGAATCAAGTATATCTTATATTCAATTCAAGTATATCTTTTTCCGTGATAGAATCAGCACAAAAGACGAATATAATTTTTCAATAAAATTCCAATAGAATTTTCTAGCGAATTCGCTAGATTTTCCATTAAATATTTTCATACGTAATATTTTACATGATTATAGAATTCTTAGAGAACATCTGGCAATGGCAAACGGTTACATTGAAAAATATAAAAATTGATATTTTGATATTTTTGAATAGCACTAACGAAATTCACTCTAGTGATAGTTTTATTATCCAAGTTTACTCGAAAAATTCCTCGGAGGGTGTTCTCGATGTGTTCAATCGTGTGCGATTGTGAGTTGAGTCTAGGGTCCAGCAGGCGGGTGTGTTCCAGGAGTTATTGCATCCCGACCATGGCGGGTCGGCCTTGAACGCCGTGAAAAAGTAATATATCGCATAGGCTATTATCACATTGTGGTATGTTGACATCAGGAATGATATCACCACTGAAGACAGACCGGCACCTGATTACAGCATTATTCTTTACATTTCGTTTATTCATCGTGCACAATGTTGAGAGAAATAATGACCTAACATCACGTTGTTTTCTATAGAATCCACACGGAAAAGAAAATATGCTTGAATTGAGTACGAAATATACTTGATTTTTTTGCGCTGATTTTTATATCAAGCATATTTTATACTTGATTCAATCAAGTTCAATCAAGTCAGTTTAATTAAATCAAGTATATTTTATACTCGAATCAAGAATAACATACTTGAATCAAGTATATAATTTCCTTGAATAAAAAATAATATACTTGAATCAAGTCTACTTGATTATACTTGAATCAAGTATACTTGATTATACTTGAATCAAGTATACTTGAATATACCTGAATCAAGCATACTTGAATATACTTGAATCAAGCATACTTGAATATACTTGAATCAAGCATACTTGAATATACTTGAATCAGGTATACTTGATTCAAGTACATACAACTATGCTTGATTATACTTGAATAAAGCATACTTGAATATACTCCTTAGATTTCGAGATATTCACTGTATATACAAGCATGCTTGATTATACTTGAATAAAGCATACTTGAATATACCTGAATCAAGCATACTTGAATATACTTGAATCAAGTATACTTGATTCAAGTATATTCAAGTACGCTTGATTATACTCGAATCAAGTATATTCTTAAAATCAATTGAGTATAAGAATATACTTGATTCAAGTATATTTTTTTCCGTGATATATAGAATCAAAAAGTTGTAGAAATTATACACAGAATTTTCTATCGAATTCGCTAAGTTTTTCGAGAAATTTTTTTCGTACGTGAAAAAATGGGAAAAATGAAAACGGAAATTGAGAGGAATTTTTGTTTTGCGATGGCAGGTCGTTTTTTCTCTCGGTTTGCAAACACAGTATTTTAATTTATATTCAAAGATACCTTTAAATAGCGGACATATCTGCCCGAGAGCACCGATTGGACCGCGTCGCGTGAATTGTCCGATGGCCAGCTCCATGTACAGCAATGGCACACCGCAGACTATTAGGATCAAGAAATATGGAACCAAAAATACCCCTAAAAGAGAGAAATTTCTTTTTTTATTTCGGAAAGACTCGAACAGGAGGTGCTCCACGCGCGCATGCATTGGCCAGTGGTCTGTACACATTATTTCAATAGCGAAGCGGTAAAACGGTTTAAGTCGACTTATCTCCCAGTTGAGTTTTTAGGGAATATTTCGGAATCTAAGAGAGATAGCGAAATTTTCGTAATTACGTTTGTTGCAGCTCTCAATCGGCTCTACAAAAAAGATTGTAACAAAAATTTTGTTATCCCCTTCAGATTCCGAGATATTCATTGAAAACTGGTCAATAGTCAAAATTGACTTGTACAGTTTTACCACTTCGACACTGATTTATTAACCGGAAAAATTCAAAATGATTTGACTTTGTCAATTGAAGTGTCTAGAAAATTATAGTAGTTCTTAGAACAATATATTTCCCAAAATTCCTGAAGACAACAAATTAATTCGGACATTAAATGCTCAGAGAAAAATAAACACGTTGTCAAACAAATCTTGTTTGGGCCAACAAAATCGCTAGTTGAAAATTGCCAAAAACGAATTTGTTTGGTTGGAATTTGAAAGTTTCAAACATGAATAATTGTTCTGCTTTCGACTTACAGAGAATGCAATTTTTTTTCAACTACTAAATCTATTTCTGCGACAAAAAAANGCTAGTGGCCAGTTTTTACTGAATATCTCGGAACCTAAGGGAGATAGCAAAATTTTTGTTATGACCTTTTTTGTGGAGCCAATTAAGAGCTACAATAAATGTAATTACGAAAATTGCGCTAACTCCCTTAGATTCTGAGATATTCCCAAAAAACGAGTTTTCCCAAATTCGAGTCTTTTTTTTTTTTTTAATTAAAGCTTTTGAACCCCATGTTCGGGCTCATTCAGCTATCAACAAAACGAGAAAGAGTAGTTCGAGTCAATTTCGGCTAGTGGCCAGTTTTTACTGAATATCTCGGAACCTAAGGGAGATAGCAAAATTTTTGTTATGACCTTTTTTGTGGAGCCAATTGAGAGCTATAATAAAGGTGATTACGAAAATTGCGCTAACTCCCTTAGATTCTGAGATATTCCCAAAAAACGAGTTTTCCCAAATTCGAGTCTTTTTTTTTTTTTTTTAATTAAAGCTTTTGAATCCCATGTTCGGGCTCATTCAGCTATCAACAAAACGAGAAAGAGTAGTTCGAGTCAATTTCGGCTAGTGGCCAGTTTTTACTGAATATCTCGGAACCTAAGGGAGATAGCAAAATTTTTGTTATGACCTTTTTTGTGGAGCCAATTGAGAGCTATAATAAAGGTGATTACGAAAATTGCGCTAACTCCCTTAGATTCGGAGATATTCCCAAAAAACTCAACTGGGAGGTGAGTGGACTCGAACCGTTGTACCACTTGGCTACTAAATTCAGGTGTTTGATGAATTACCATCGGTCAAGACAGCCTCCACCGACATGTTCTGTTCCTGGGCGATATTTCCGATGGTAGCGAACGCAAATATCCCGACTAAAAGACTAGTGAACGCGTTGATGAGGGACACAGCCACCGTATCAACGAGAATATTATTGTGAAATTTGTTGTAACTAGCGAAACATATCATCGATCCGAATGCTATTCCCACTGAGTTAAATATTTGCGCAGCTGCGTTGACCCAAACCTACGGAAAAATATACCCTTGTGATCCAATTAGTGTTATGGTCTATAAAAAATACGATTAGATGTACGTTGAATTGGAGGGGGAATGGGTCTACTGCACCTTGGCGTCAGCCAGCAAGTGCCACCTGGGGCGAAAGAAGAATTGCAAGCCCTTCTCGGCGCCCTCGAGTGTCAGGGAGCGCGTCAGGAAGACGAAGATGAGGAGGAACGGCAGGGTCGCTGTCAAATATCTGACTTGGGCTGATGATTTTATCGATTTCCAGATGGAAAAGTAGACCAACACCCACGCCGCCACCAAGCAAGCCACTATTTCCCATCTCAATATCCCTGGCTCCTCTATCCCTGAACTTACTTGCAGGACCTTGTTGCTGAGTATTTGAAATAGAATTGCGCATGAAAAAATTGAATGGAAAACCTTGCGTATTCGCCAGAATATTCTATTGGAATTCTATAGGATTTCTGTTGGAATTCTGTCTCGCCATCGACTTACGGAGTTTTTTTTTACAAATGGTTAATTTTTCATTACTGTCTTTATTTTGAGTATGCATTATTTGATCTTGTAATTGGCCTGTGCTGTTGGATCTTTATGAAATAAAAATGAAAATGAATTCTATTGAAAAATTGTATTGGTTTTTTACGCTGATTCTGTTGGATATTCAGTAAGAAAAAGTCAATAGATTGCGTATTTCTGTTTGAATTTTTGCTATTTGAATTATTGGGCACAAATTTTCCAAGTTTTTTCCCCTGGATTTTGTTTCGTTTTTCATTGCAGAAAAAAATTGAAACAGAAATTTGAATTCTATTGACTTTTTCTTATCGAGTATTCAGTCACGAAATAAAATACTTGAATTGAGTATAAAATATACTTGAATCAAGTATATCTTATATTCAATTCAAGTATATCTTTTTCCGTGATAGAATCAGCACAAAAGACGAATATAATTTTTCAATAAAATTCCAATAGAATTTTCTAGCGAATTCGCTAGATTTTCCATTAAATATTTTCATACGTAATATTTTACATGATTATAGAATTCTTAGAGAACATCTGGCAATGGCAAACGGTTACATTGAAAAATATAAAAATTGATATTTTGATATTTTTGAATAGCACTAACGAAATTCACTCTAGTGATAGTTTTATTATCCAAGTTTACTCGAAAAATTCCTCGGAGGGTGTTCTCGATGTGTTCAATCGTGTGCGATTGTGAGTTGAGTCTAGGGTCCAGCAGGCGGGTGTGTTCCAGGAGTTATTGCATCCCGACCATGGCGGGTCGGCCTTGAACGCCGTGAAAAAGTAATATATCGCATAGGCTATTATCACATTGTGGTATGTTGACATCAGGAATGATATCACCACTGAAGACAGACCGGCACCTGATTACAGCATTATTCTTTACATTTCGTTTATTCATCGTGCACAATGTTGAGAGAAATAATGACCTAACATCACGTTGTTTTCTATAGAATCCACACGGAAAAGAAAATATGCTTGAATTGAGTACGAAATATACTTGATTTTTTTGCGCTGATTTTTATATCAAGCATATTTTATACTTGATTCAATCAAGTTCAATCAAGTCAGTTTAATTAAATCAAGTATATTTTATACTCGAATCAAGAATAACATACTTGAATCAAGTATATAATTTCCTTGAATAAAAAATAATATACTTGAATCAAGTCTACTTGATTATACTTGAATCAAGTATACTTGATTATACTTGAATCAAGTATACTTGAATATACCTGAATCAAGCATACTTGAATATACTTGAATCAAGCATACTTGAATATACTTGAATCAAGCATACTTGAATATACTTGAATCAGGTATACTTGATTCAAGTACATACAACTATGCTTGATTATACTTGAATAAAGCATACTTGAATATACTTGAATCAAGTATACTTGATTCAAGTATATTCAAGTACGCTTGATTATACTCGAATCAAGTATATTCTTAAAATCAATTGAGTATAAGAATATACTTGATTCAAGTATATTTTTTTCCGTGATATATAGAATCAAAAAGTTGTAGAAATTATACACAGAATTTTCTATCGAATTCGCTAAGTTTTTCGAGAAATTTTTTTCGTACGTGAAAAAATGGGAAAAATGAAAACGGAAATTGAGAGGAATTTTTGTTTTGCGATGGCAGGTCGTTTTTTCTCTCGGTTTGCAAACACAGTATTTTAATTTATATTCAAAGATACCTTTAAATAGCGGACATATCTGCCCGAGAGCACCGATTGGACCGCGTCGCGTGAATTGTCCGATGGCCAGCTCCATGTACAGCAATGGCACACCGCAGACTATTAGGATCAAGAAATATGGAACCAAAAATACCCCTAAAAGAGAGAAATTTCTTTTTTTATTTCGGAAAGACTCGAACAGGAGGTGCTCCACGCGCGCATGCATTGGCCAGTGGTCTGTACACATTATTTCAATAGCGAAGCGGTAAAACGGTTTAAGTCGACTTATCTCCCAGTTGAGTTTTTAGGGAATATTTCGGAATCTAAGAGAGATAGCGAAATTTTCGTAATTACGTTTGTTGCAGCTCTCAATCGGCTCTACAAAAAAGATTGTAACAAAAATTTTGTTATCCCCTTCAGATTCCGAGATATTCATTGAAAACTGGTCAATAGTCAAAATTGACTTGTACAGTTTTACCACTTCGACACTGATTTATTAACCGGAAAAATTCAAAATGATTTGACTTTGTCAATTGAAGTGTCTAGAAAATTATAGTAGTTCTTAGAACAATATATTTCCCAAAATTCCTGAAGACAACAAATTAATTCGGACATTAAATGCTCAGAGAAAAATAAACACGTTGTCAAACAAATCTTGTTTGGGCCAACAAAATCGCTAGTTGAAAATTGCCAAAAACGAATTTGTTTGGTTGGAATTTGAAAGTTTCAAACATGAATAATTGTTCTGCTTTCGACTTACAGAGAATGCAATTTTTTTTCAACTACTAAATCTATTTCTGCGACAAAAAAATTTCACTCCGGCGCACTCTCTGCATGTTTGGCACAAAAAAATCCTTTTTTGATAATTTTCAAAAAACTATTTTCTTGGCACAAGTAAGACTTGCTTGAGAACATTGTCGTTTCTCTCGCAGTGATAAACTTGAAATACTGACCGAAAAAATTCCCCCATTTTTCACGCGAGAACCATACGAATGACCCGTGAAAATGAAATAAATAAAATCCGTTTCGTAAAACGGACACACCGAGAGCCGTAGGAAATGGGTCAATCATATTTAATTAACTCCACAGCTTCAAAAGTAACTCCACGAAGGATCCATTTACTCAAACATTCGACGCTAGTTCCGTATGAAGGCTAGCTCTCGCGTGCATTGCGTCACACATCGTCGGGACAACTGCCTAATCTCCGCGAATTGTTGAATAAACAATACCTCGGCTATTATTATTTCCTTTTTTTGTTTCACGAATGCGGAAGGAGAGCCCGTGATCTCTATTCATCCGATTTCTCGTCGTTTTGCGTCGGAAAAAAAATTACCAAGCGCCACGGGGGATTTATTAATCTCATCTAGTCCTCGCGAAAAGTTAATATCCCTCAGTTTCCCCTGCAAATTGATTGCTGCAGGGACAAGGGCACTGAGACGGTGGTATGTAACAGTCGTAATGGCTCAGGTAATTTTTTTACGAAGGATAATTGCTCTTTCTCTCTCGTTCCCAAGATATTTTCTTAAGCGTCAAAGTGAGATCTCATTTATTGACAGTCCATTTTGCGTATACTATAGCTATTCTTGCTAATAAATTAGCATTATGCTTCCGACTGGTCATTTTGCTCATTTTTTTCCATTGAATATCATTCATTGCCTATTTTATTTTCTTGAATTGAATCAATTTCTTTCCAACTCATTGTTTTAGATTTTTACGGAACTCACAGTTCCGTAATTTTTCACAGGAGATTCAGCTAAAAATTACGGAACGCTCTGGAAAAATTCCGTGACAGTTCCGTAAAATTTCCTGAAACCATATTTCGCTCCGGAATTACGGAAAAAAAACGTAATTTTTATTGAATATTTCTCTCCGCGTGCGAAATCGAACGAAATATTTGGCTCAAGAGGCGGATAATTCACACCAGACGGGGCCTTTTCGGGATGAAAATATCTCATGCAGAGGAAAATTTATCAACTAAAAAATATTAATTTTTCATCACAATGTGTGGAAAAGGGACGTTTTAGGCACGCGAAGCGAAGGATAATTGCTCTTTCTCTCTCGTTCCCAAGATATTTTCTTAAGCGTCAAAGTGAGATCTCATTTATTGACAGTCCATTTTGCGTATACTATAGCTATTCTTGCTAATAAATTAGCAATATGCTTCCGACTGGTCATTTTGCTCATTTTTTTCCATTGAATATCATTCATTGCCTATTTTATTTTCTTGAATTGAATCAATTTCTTTCCAACTCATTGTTTTAGATTTTTACGGAACTCACAGTTTCGTAATTTTTCACAGGAGATTCAGTTAAAAATTACGGAACGCTCTGGAAAAATTTCGCTCTGGAATTACGGAAAAGAAACGTAATTTTTATTGAATATTTCTCTCCGCGTGCGAAATCTTCTAAAACCTTTGAAACTCATAGTAATCCCCCCCTGAACCGAATGTCGCGCAATAGTTGGCCTCAACAAATGCCGGGAACTTGATACATGACCCTGAATCCAAAGACTATCCCAGCAGAGCCCGGGACACACGAGCTGCTTCAATCTATCGAGTTACCAGCTCTCAATAATTATTCCGCAGCAAGTCCCTGCATTACTTGCAGTGTGAATAAATGAAGGCACATGAATGTGGCCTTGAATTGTTTAAATGATGAGCTTAACACTGTTAAGCCCATCATTTCGACGCACACATGCGCCGATTAGGAGGAATGAGAAAAGAGGCGACTTCCTCCGTTTGAATTTGGCCGAAAGGACCTCGCCGCTTGATTTATTGATCAGGTGAATTGACGAGTGACGAATAGACTCACCTCCGCCGCTCTTGTAACACAGATACGGAAATCGCCAGACATTGCCGAGGCCCACGGAGTAGCCGATGCAGGCCAGTACAAATTGCACTTTGTTGGCCCAGTGCGGCCTCTTTGGCTGTCGATAATCTCGCGAGTCCTCCTCGACTCCGTCGTCGTAACTGTCGCAGGTGGACATGTCGTCGACTGGCCTGAAGACACGGAAATACATGAAAATGGTCGGGGATTTCTCAGAGCGTTAGTAACGCCAGTGCAGTACCGACTGATATCCATCCGCAAATGTTGAATTCAAAACAAGGCGTTTGGGTCACATCTGTATTTGCATGCTAAAATACATATTTGAAATGACGCGGTGGTTCTAACGGAGGGGGAGGTCGGAGCTAAGTCTATTTCTTGGAGTGCCATTTTTCGCCTGAGGTTTCGCAACAATTTTCAAGTTTTTTGGTCAATAGTTGATAATACACTGAGGGAAAAACAAACACTTTGTCAAACAAGTCTTGTTTGGGCCAAAAAAGAATTTGTTCGGCTCGAATTTGAGAGTCTCAAACGTGAATTATTGTTCTCCCTTCGACAGCAACGAAATATTTGGCTCAAGAGGCGGATAATTCACACCAGACGGGGCCTTTTCAGGATGAAAATATCTCATGCAGAGGAAAATTTATCAACTAAAAAATATTAATTTTTCATCACAATGTGCAAAAAGTAACTTTTTAGGCACGCTTTGCGTGCCTAAAACANGCGATATGAAAATGAGCATCACGATGGTTCTTGGATCGGATGGAAATTTCCGCAGCATTTTATGTTCTGAGTTTAAAATTTCACTCATAAAAGAAATGACAATCATAATTGTTTTTTCATCACGCTGTGACGAAAAGTGAACTTTTCGGCACGCTCCGCGTGCCTAAAAGTCCAATTTCCACCACATTGTGATGAGAAATATTGTTCGTAATTCGTGAAAAAATGTTTTTTTTGCACTCGTTACGAAATATACTAGTTCGATACTCGTGGGAAAAGTGTTTTTTGGCTCGTGGGAGGTTTATAGCACGAGCCGAAGGCGAGCGATATAATCCCACGAGCCAAAAAACACTTTTCCGCACTCGTAACGAAATATACTATTATCCCTCAGTTACAAGATTGCTATCACATCGTTATTATTGTTTCATTTAAGGGTTCATTTGTTGTCTGTGATTATTAGACAGCCGAAACGAAAAACTACTATCCCTTGTTTCGCATAAAACAAAGATTTTTCGGGAGCTAAATACGTATGGGAGTATCGAATAACGAAGGAGTAGTGCTAGAATAGTATTTTATGCCTCTAGGGACGGAAAACCGCGATTCTGACCTCGCTCCGCTCGGTTAAATCGCGGTTTTCAGTCCTCGAGGCATAAAATATCGTGTGCCACACGGCAGTAAAAGTATTTTCTGACTCGTGATTATAATAACTATTTTAGATTATATAACGTCCCATTCGTCAGAAAATACTTTTACTCCCTAGGGGCACAATATACTATTTCCGGCGGTTGCGATAGGGTTTTTTACTCGTGTGGTGTTGGCCTCCGAGCCGTAGGCGAGGGCTGGCCAACCACACGAGTAAAAAAACCCCATCGCAACAGCCCAGGAACAATATTTTTCTGCAGTGATTTTCAAGTTTTCGAGTTTGGGAAGTATGTAATACCAATTCTCAGACGACAAATCGTGAGAAGCAGCACAGAAAATGACATTTCTTGCTTGTACAGAGAATGCAATTTTTTTTTAACTACTAAATCCATTTTTGCGACAAAAATTTTTCATTCCGCCGCACTCTCTGCATGTTTGACACAAAAAAATCCTTTTTTGATAATTTTCAAAAAACTAGTTCCTTGGCACAAGTAAGACTTGTTTGAGAATTTTATCGTTTTTCTCTCAGCGTATGGAACTGTAGATTTTCGATTAACGAAAAATATTCAATTTTTTAGTTTAATTGAATTATTGATCGATAAAGTAATTGGAATTTGAATGTTTAAATTGATGAGAACTTCAATAATTAAGATTTTAAGGGTGATATCAACGAATTGACTACGTCAAAATTGAACAGTAAATATAATTCAGTAGCGAAGCGGTAAACCGGTTTAAGTCGATTTAGACTATTGGTCAGTTTTTAGTGAATATCTCGGAACCTAAGGAACATAGACATTTTTTGGTAATAAACTTTTTTGTAGCTCTCAATTCGCTCTACAAAAAAGGTTATAATGGAAATTTCGCTATTTCTCTTGAATTCGGAGATATTCCTCGAAAACTCAGCGAAGAGCTAACCCGTTTTACCGCTTCGCTACTGAATTTATGAATATGGCCATCCCTGATATTGCCAAGTCCAGCATAAACTTGGCGAAATGAAGCACGTGCGAAAAAACTCAAGAGAAAACCCAGCGAATTCGCTAGAAAATTCAACTGGAATTCTACAAGAATTCTATGGGGGTTTCTATAGGATTTCTATTGGAATTCTCTGTTGTGGAGAAGGTTTCGACCGAATTTTTTATTATTCTTTAGTAATTGGCCGCTGCGGTCATCAGCCGATTCCAATTAGCGAAATTATTAAATGTCCAAATGATAAAAAAAATTGACGAGGTCATTTGGATCATATCCAATATTTCTATACATTTTTCATATTTTTTTTATCATTTGGACATTAATAATTTCGCGAATTCGAATCGGCAGAGGCCAATTACTGAAGAATAGAATTAGAATTCTATTTTAAAAAATCGATAAGAAAAACTCAATAGATTTCAAATTTCTGTTAAAATTTTTCTCCTGAGATTTTTTCTATTAGAATTTATTGTGCACAAATTTCCCACGTTTTTCCACTGAATTTCATTTCATTTTGCGTTACAAAATCCGAGTGGAAAAAACTCAGAAAATTGATGCGCAAGCATTCTAGTAGAAAAACCCTAATAAGAAAAATTCAACCAGAAATTCTAAATCCATTGACTTTTTCATCTCGAATATCCCCTAAAAACAAATAGCATTTTTCAGTCAAATAAAATTCTCCGAGACTTCCCCCAGAGTTTCCCCTCGAATTCGCCAGTTTTTCTGTTGAATTTTCCGCGCGCGAAACCGAAACCGTTTCCCTCCCTCTCCCAATAAAAAACCCCTGCAACTCACGTCGGTGGATGGACCATATTGAGTAACTCCGACGGAGAAGTCGGCACCCTGCGAATGGTAAGTTTCCGACCGTCGGAGGAGCCCATGCCGATGGACGCCAGCGATCGAATGGACACCGAGTCCGGAAATCCGGCGGCAGGACGAGCGGACTGTCCCGGCGCATCCGGAAAAACAATGGACGCCCACCCCCCCGCGGGTGGATGATAAGCGCTCTGCAGATGCAGATGATGGCCCTCCTCACCGACATTCGACTTCAAAGACCGCATGCTCGAGTACTTGTACCGGCCCCCGCACAGTTCCATTCCGCGGCCGAGTCTCCCCCCGTGCGCCGAATTATCCCGATACAATTTGGCGGTTGCGTCGATGCCATCGGCGGCCTGTGCCCCAGAAGCGTTCGCCGACCCCGGCTTGCCGGACTTGTCCCGAACGCTCTCGCTACTGCAACTGGATCTCTTCAGCCCGCCGTTGCTTCCCGATGCTGTTACAATTTTCCGACTTCCGGAACTCAATAATCTCCCCCTCTCCCTGGCCCCCTCGTACCCCCCCTCGCTGTGGCTGTCATCCGAATCTGACATTGTCGAATCACTCATGCGATCCTCCATCTCCACGTCCTCAGAGCCCTCCTCCGTCATCGTACTCATTTTCCGCACATTTTTCGTCTTCATCAAACCTGAACGCGAATTACTCGGCAAAAGCGCTTGCACTGGTGCATTGACTCGGCTCGACTCAGCCGCACTCGTCTCCATGATCACCGGTAATCAGTACTATTATCTCGCGAGGTACTCGACTAACTCTCCTTTTTGATCGTGTAATTTATAATTGAGTGTCTCCAATGTAGGTCAATTAACAGAGTGCGCAACGCACATGAAAGCCGTCTCGACGCGCTCACAGATTTGAATTTGCACGCACTCCAGCCGTCCAGAATTCACTCATTTCTTCCGTATTTGTTCGTCAATGCCCCACTAAATTCGTATTTACCGAGCATTTACCTCGCGCTCGCCGTTTTCAGGGTCATTCGGTGGGAAGAAGTGACGAAAAATCTTGCACAACTATTTTATCATTCATTGTATTTTACGGTGGAACGAAAAAATAAACCTGGCAGTAACGCAACACTTTTCGAGTCCGGAGAGTGCGAAAAAAAAAACAGCGAACAGGTGACTGAAGGTAGGGGGCACCGGCGCGATCGCCGCGATCTACACATTCACCAGATCGATATGTCAATTAAATGTTTGATCCACTGGGCTCGACGTTGATCTTTGCGACGAAAAATATCACATGTTGACGCGAGTATTTAGCGGTTGGGCCGGTGGGAATTATTTTAATGCCGCGGTGATTATGGCTGATATTAAAATCAAGCGAGTGAGACAATGGGGGCCCCCGTGTGTGCGCTGTGCACAGGGGAAATGGAACTCTTGTGAGCCGAGACGAGCCGAAGCGCGCCGAAAGCCCCAATGATTGCCGCTGTGTGGTGGCCTACCTCTGTATCATGTTCGCGCTCTTTTAGAGATATCAAGTGCGATGTACAGTGGCATTGCGCGCACGGGGCATGTGGATCATCAGACGGAATATGCTTGAAGCGCTTGTTATGGAGGGGCTTCTTATTCTTCATTGTTAATTTCATACCAGCAGATAGTGATGATCACGTGCGACGGTTTAACCTTTTTCCCACAGATGGCCTAAACCACCGTGTTCTTGGCCGATTGATTTATTGTAGCTTTCACTGCTAAAACCACGTGTCTGACAGCTAGCTGAACTTAAGATGTCGGATGGGAAAAAACGACTGAATCACTACTAGACAAGATTTTGTCTAGTTGTGATTCCCATAATGCGAAAAACTTCTGTAACTTCTTTGTAAAATGGCTCCACGGCAAAATATCACATATCAAAATATCACCGGCAAAAAATCATGCCTCAAAATATCACGGAACAAAATATCACCGGTACAAAATATCACAAATCAAAATATCACACACAAAAAATATCACAAACCAAAATGATCATAAACAAATTTTTAAAAAACACAAATTACGATGACAAATTACGTCTGACTAGAAAAAATAAATATGGAAAATAACACTGTCACTGACTTGTTAAGTTACTCACGTTGAAAGTAAAATTATATTAAAGCTATGTACAGCGCGAAAATTATAACTGTTCATAAGTTATCTAAACAAATAATTGTATAACATTTCCCCGTGCAATGGGACTCATCTTGGTTTCTGAAATTGAAATACCTCCATTGAGTCAGATACATTTTAATGTCTCAAAAGCGTCTACAAAATCGTCCCAAAAGTGTTTGAAAAGTGTCTGAAATTCAGACATTAGTTTTCGCAGTGCTGGGAACACTCTTCCGTTTGTCTCGATCATTCGTGTGAATCACTTTCAAGTGTTGCACAATCGGGGTAATTTATGCACATTCATGTGAAGTACTTCGGATGACGATTTTCGGGGACGAGAGGATGGCTCAAGGATTTTTGAATATGTTTTTTTAGATTCTAACGCAATGGACGCTTTTGTAATCGAGACGGGAGTGTAATGGGGGTTATTGGTGATTGGAAGCGATGAGAAATCGATGAGGGAATGAGAAATATTATATTGTTGTGAATGACTACTTTTCCCTTTAGAATGCAGTCCGGCGGATATTTCCTCTGAAATTAGAATTGCTTTTGTTCTATCGTCACTGTTTATTTTAATAACCGTCTTTTTTAGTCGTCAGGGCATTAATTTATTCTGCAGATAAACAAACAATATTTTTGCCATGAACCACTACCAAAAACCAATTCCATTTGACAATCTATCGTAGTATAAAAAAACCATGAAAATTGCATGACCCACCAAATAATCAACCCATTAGTTATTTAAAGCTTGTGACAAAAATGTTCTCAACCAAAGAATTTTCAAACTCGTGCAAAGCCCAAACATAAAACACAAGTCTAATCACAAGTATAAAATTTCTCGGCGTAAGATTTTTTTTCTCAGCGTGAGATACTCTGCGCTTGGTAATTTCCAAGCCCCGAATTTCTCGGTCCAAGTGACCGAGTACTTACTCCTCAAAAAAAATTCCTCTGTGCGATTTTTCCACAGAATACATATTTTTCCCCAGAATAAATTCAATTGTACGCCCGCACCGTGAATAGTCACGGTCTTATCTGCGAGTACAGTCTCAATACTCCGGGGATAATGGGCCAAGGCTCTTACATTTCCACCAGAGTCGTTCAATTCCCACGGAGTTAATAGGAGTGTGCAGATAATACACGTTCGACATTTGTCGAGGAATACATCGATTGCGAATCACCGTGCAATTTTCAATACTTCTATTCATTAACATATTACACGTGTGTAATGAGCGATTCCATTAATTCCTCCTCACTCCACGTGAATCGGGAAGAGTGCGGCGATAGAACGGGGGATAGAACGGGGATGTCTGATGAGGATGACGAGTGCGGCTGGGGGTCGATGTATATATTCTATATAAAGCCGAAATAGATAGATGTACTTTCCCGGGTTATGTAAAAGCCTAGAGTCTGGAGCGGTTGCCGCAGGTATAAAGGTCGGCTGTACCCTCGACGGCCTAAGAGTTGCTCGCGAACTTCACTCCGACAACCATCACAGTGATATTTTATATGGGCCAGCCGTGCTATTGCACTTTCTCGAAGCATTTACATTTCAACAAAATAATCGTGTATCAGTGGAATAAGCAGTCGTCACAACTTAATTCGACGTCACGATGAGAACAATAGTAAGTAGACACGTATGAAAAAATCCTGGAGGATTTCCGATAGGATTTCCTATAGGAAATTCTATGGAGAATTCAAACATTTTCTATAGGATTTTTCTGGGGGGATTTCCTATAGGATTTCGTGTAGGAAATCCTATGGAGAATTCGAACATTTCCTATAGAATTTCCTATAGGAAATCCTATGGAGAATTCGAACATTTTGTGTAGGATTTTTCTGGGGGGATTTCCTATAGGATTTCCTATAGGAAATCCTACGGAGAATTCGAACATTTCCTATAGGATTTCCTATAGGAAATCCTATGGAGAATTCGAACATTTTCTATAAAAATTTTCTGGTGCGATTTCCTATAGGATTTCCTCTACGAAATCCTATGGAGAATTCGAACATTTCCTATAGGATTTTTCTGGTGGGATTTCCTAGAGGATTTCCTGTAGGATATCCTCTGAAGAATTCGAACATTTCCTATAGGATTTTTCTGGTGGGATTTCCTAGAGGATTTCCTGTAGGATATCCTCTGAAGAATTCGAACATTTCCTATAGGATTTTTCTGGTGGGATTTCCTATAGGATTCCCTATAGGATATCCTATGGAGAATTCGAACATTTCCTATAGGATTTTTCTGGGGGAATTTCCTACAGGATTTGCTATAGGAAATCCTATGGAGAATTCGAACATTTCCTATAGGATTTTTCTGGTGGGATTTCCTATAGGTTTTTCTATAGGATTTCCTATGGAGAATTCTAACATTTCCTGTAGGATTTTTCTGGTGGGATTTCCTATGGGATTTCCTATAAGATTTTCTACAGGATTTCCTATAGAATTCACTACAGGGTTTTCTATAGAACACACAAAATTGAGACTCGAAACCAATCGGTGACAAGGGTCAGGATTAGGGTCATAAATCTGATAGTAAATTCTATAGGCAATCCTATAGGAAATCCTGTGGGAAATCCTACCAGAAAAATCCTCTAGGAAATGTTCGAATTCTCCGTAGAATTTTTTCACACGTGGAACCACAATTGTTGGTCTTGTTGGTCGCCCAGCGTTTTCCATTCTCACCGATAAATCGTCATGGTTGCAGATTATCGCGGTGGCTGTGATGAGCATTGCCCATGCCCAGGATCTCTATTTTCGCGAGCCCGAGAAGGTGAAGAGTGAATCGAAAAATTTTAGCGAAACTCTCGGCACTTATGCCGTCGCCTACGAGACTGAGGGCGGAATTTTGCAACAGGAGATTGGATCCAGGAAGTATGCGGGCACTCCTGATGAGGCGCAATTGATCCAAGGATCTGTTCAGTACAATGCACCTGATGGCACGCCGATTTCGTTGAGCTGGACTGCTGATGAGTACGGAACTCAAGTGTCCGGCGCCCATTTGCCAACACCACCGCCAATTCCACTGGCAATTCAGAGGGCACTCGAGTGGATAGCGAAACAGCCATCGACTGAGGAACCAGATTATGATAATGGAGAAGTCCGCCCTGCTGACGTCAAGTCGAATCCACCTAAAGCGAGTATTCCTAAGGATCCCAAGTACAGGAGTCAGAAGAAGTTCTAATTTATTTATCGATTTTTTTCCATGTTTTTTTCGTAATTAAATAAATGCGTGCGACAATTTTCCACGGAGAGTTGCATTATTCACTGGTTATCCCCGAATTAGTAGATTGGAGAAGATGGACTGACTGCAATGAAATCGCTTATTGGTTTGTTGGAAGACAGGTGAATAAATAAAAGACAATTATATATGAGCAATTGAACTTTAGTGAGACGTGCTCTCACTTCGAGGGCAGTCGTAGAACTGAATAAAAAATATCGTTGTCACAAAGGCCAGAGCCTTTTTCTTGTAGTTCTCTCTCATCAGCCGTTATCGGATGTTTATATTATTTAGTAAACATTCGACTGGAGTTTCGTCGTAAGACCCGGCAGATGGGTCTCGCCAGGAGTGATCTCATAGTATTGTTGTGTTTGTAGAAATAATTAAAGGCCAGACTTTGAAATAAGGGCGATTTATTATTACAGAAGGCAGCGGTAATCTATCTCAGTCAGGATCCAGCTTTGTAATAAGTCTTCAGTTCTTGTTATTCCACGAGACGATCGTTGCTAGGGATCTTTACATTCTTTTTTTATTACTAATTCGAATGAGGAAGGGGAGACACCCTACAGTATAATAAATCCAAGTTATATCGTTTAATGATGTGATCGAATTCAGTGGCGAAGTGGTAAAATGGTTCAAGTCAATTTCGACTAGTGACCAGTTTTCAATGAATATCTCGGAATCTGAGGGAGATGGCAAAATTTTTGTCATAACCTTTTTTGTAGAGCCGATTGAGTGCTACAACAAATGCAGTTACGAAAATTTCGCTATCTCCCTTAGATTCGGAAATATTCCTCAAAAACTCAACTGGGAGATGAGTCGACTTAAATCACTTCGTTTTGCCACTTCGCTACTGAATTGTTTTTGCTCTTTGCAGTATCGCTGGTGATCATTATTTGTTGTATTTATTATCCTCCATCTTTTGAGCGAAGCACAATGGGAGTGGGAGCTGATACCGAACAATTACGCAACAGTGCGTGCCAACGGGACCTATGAATATGCAGAACTGTGTAATCGCCCACAGGGTTTTGATGAATGATCAGGTTTTAGGCGGCGACTATTTTCATTCGCGAGAAATGTCATCATCGAAAATGAAAAATATGTAAAATAAGGTGGCGGGAACAGCCTCGTGTCGATGCATCGGAGATGCCGCGGTACTAATTAATGACAAGTATTCCCCGTGATGAATTGTACACTCACAGCAAATGGTGTGGGTAATTTTTTATCCTTTTCGAATGATTACGAGCTTTTGAATCAGGTTGGGGTCGTCGTTATTACTAAATTTCCCCCGGCTCGTTCGCCTTGAGGAATTATTTGCGCATCTTCAGTGGCACGTCTCTTATTTCATACGTGTTCGGTATCAACCGAAATCATGTTAGGCGTCATGTGGATGGGTACACGATGGGCTTCTCACTGGGTGTGTTGTAATATCCTTGGACAAGTCGAGGTATCCTTGGGGATATCTCTGAAGTGACGGAACTCAAAATCGATTGCTCGGGGAATTTTATTTCATTTTTATTCTCCACTTACATTGAGAGGAGATGATGATTTTTAAAAGGCGACGAGAGTGAATTTATGAAGCTGTAGTAATCTTTACTTGGAATTAATGAATTATTTATTTTGTGTAATTGAATAAACTGGTCGGGCGCCGTATTGTTCGGGAGAAAAACCTACAGTGAATTCACAAGAAAATTTGTGTGGGACCAATGAATTTCTTTCGCGCGTGGAAGAAAGTATAAGAATGATGAGCCACATAGGAAACTTGCGTAGAGTCCACTTTTCGAATATTTTTAAATGAATAGTCTTTGCAGTCTATGAACCATTCCAGAGGAAAAAGTTTTCCGAAAGGTGGTCTGGATATTTTGTAATAACTGATTAGAAATGCATCAATTTTGAACACTTTTTTGGGGTCATGACGTCAAATCACCGGAATCAAGTTCCCCTTGCGACTACTAGCAGCGCTAGTGAGCTATTCTAGCCTCTCAAAGTGCGAGACGTTCAACCAAAACAAATCGAGGGAGTTATGTTTTAAACAATTATTAAAAGTGGATAAAAAAAATATATTGGCACTGACAAATGAAGTTTGTGCTGAAAAATGATTTTCAAAAGGCGTGCTCGGGGAATTTACCAACGGTAGACGTGACTGTTTATAGATTTTATGGGTTTAAATCTGTGTCGAAGTGTCGAATGTCGTGGTTGTATAATTTTCACTGTTGTATTTTTACATTCTGGTACAAAACAATATTTATAAGGAACTTTCATCCCTCGATCCGGTTTTTCTGACATTTACGAGCCAAATACATGTACAGAGTATTTTCCTAGATTTCAGCAGCTGTACTGAACCGCTTGACGGCGCCACACGAAAATTTCGGCCTCCGGTGAATTGATGTCACCGGCCTTTTTCGAGCGTTTAAAAAGTGCAATTTTTAAAAGCAAATTGTTGAAATATACAAAAATAATTAATTAAATTCTCAAGAGTGACGGAGTTGGTATAAATGAGAGAGTGGATGCTTGGGAGGTCTATACCACTCTCTGAAGCTGACTGTTTATTTAGTGTCATATAAACAAATGACGAACTCAAGAGAATGAAAGAAACGACTGTTCTCCTTTATCCCCTTTGTGGTGGATATGCGTATTGCTTATTAGTTATTTGATTTTGAGTCTAGTTCCTCGACGGCTCTCAGAGAGAAAGCACGTCTCTAATAAATGGTATCATTGCTCTGGTTAAACTGATTCAACTTATTTACTTCCATAACCTGCATCCCATATTCCAACACAAATAAATAATTATTAAACTATTTTCCGTGTGTTTCCTTATCAAATATGAGCTCTTGGGGGCATACATTTGAGGAAAAAAAATATTTAAAAAACATGCAAGTTCCCCATTGCGTAATACGATCAGTTTCGGTATGTCGTCCCAATCGTGTCGGTATGATTGCCAGGTATGGCCAGGATGAGCCTCAAGCCTCATCTTTGTATAACGGCCGTTAAAGCTTGTAATCACGAGAAACTGGTCAGTCAGGGTCACCGTATCAAATTAATGATTTTTCACCGCGGATATTAATTTCGATAACTATTCTCAAGCGAATGCTCTTTAGTTGCGTTATTTGCATTTCTCAAGGGGGTAATCACTGTAATGAGGATGAATGATGCTTCCAGCGTGCAATATATTTCGGCAAAGTTAATTCAATTATCCGTCTCCATTCGTTTTTTTTTTTCATTTCTCGGTGGATATATCTCGCCGGCCGCCGGAGGTCATACCCAATGCCTATAACCCAAATACTACGAGCCAAGATTTTTACTTTCACGCGGCAGATGCTCTCCGGGCAAATAATGCACAATAATATCATCTTGTCTTGCGTTTGCGTTGGCGCGATGACTTTGAGGAATTTTCACAAGTCTTTGATGATCCTCTGGACGAAAGTGTATAAAGATACTCGATATATGGCTGCGGGCGAGTGTTCCGCAATATGAGATTTACTCTTCACCACTGCCTAGTTGGCTATTGTCATTATGCTCCGGTGATTCAACGTTACTTAATCGAATTTCATCCCATTTTAATACTCATTAATCCGGTGCAGTTTCACGCGCTTCGCGAGTCTTGGTGTGGTGATTTATTCAATACACGGAGAGAAAAGTGCAGTAAAAATTACCAAAAATAGACGTAAAAATTACGGTTCGAAACGTATCCGCGAGCGTCGGAACTGAAATTCTACGAATCGTCACGTTAATTCAACGATTTGTTCCGTAAAAATTAACCAGCCGTCTGATGACTCCCCGCTGTGGGGACATCAAGTCGTTCCGTAATTTTTCCCCAACGATTGAGAAATTTTACGGAACGGAACGTAGAAATAACTCACCAGTAAACCGGGTTTAGTCGATTTCGACTTTCGTCCATTTTTTTGTGAATATCTCGGAATCTAAGAGAGATATCGAAATTTTGCTCATGACCTTTTTTATAACCCTCAGTTGGCTCTACAAAAAAGGTTATGACAAAAATTTTTCTATCTCCTTTAGATTCCGAGATATTCGTCAAAAACTGACGAATAGTCAAAATCAACTCAACCCGGTTTACCGCTTCGCTACTGAATAGTTCCGTAATTTTCACTGAATATTTCTCTTCGTGTTAGTTGTTTGAGTTTGTTCGAACGCATGGCTTACTAGACTGACCTTTGCTACCTGGTAACACATAACATGTGTAGTCATCAAAATAATGAGCTAACGAAACAAATTTTTTGATAATCCCATGATTAGGCTCTTTGGTGTCTACTGCTTCTTCAACCGCCTCTTGCTTGCAGCAATGCTTTCGTCCTTGATGTCATTGCTTCGGCCAAATTGACTAGCATTAACTGTTTTAATGATCGCCACCCGAGAATGAGAATATCAGGGATTTATTGAGGTGTTACCAAAGAAAAGAGGATGTAATTAGAAAGTTATTGAATTATTGCGAGATGATTCGTTTGTGTTAAATCAGTTGCAAGAGAAATGTCAAAATTCATTTCGTCATTACGTATTTCTCGCATTGAGAGAAAAATTACCTCTAAATTCTAATAACCGTAAATTTTCAACCAGAAATTAACGCTTTTTTTTAATGACGAGACTAGGCCCCGCCCTCCGCGCGCGTTTTCTCTACCTTAGGTGCCTCAGGAATTAGTAGAACCGAGATAGATGTTTTCGATGGATTTCCACTGATATTAAAAGTTAATATCCCGCATAGAAAAAAATATGAGCCAAAACTTATAAGTGAGATATAATGATTTCTCTGTCACTAGGTGAATTCTAAATCATTTGTGATGAAGTGGCAATATTAAGCTTCGGTCGAACAGGGATTTTATTTATTATGAAAAATCAAAATTATTCTCTGCAGGTAAAAAGCCGAAACAAAATCATCATGAATTGAGGCGCGGTTGTGAATTATTTGTTTTTAAAAAAAGTGTTGAAAATTCGCAATTTAGAATACTGAAATTTAATTCTTTTTTCTATTTAGTTTAGTATGTATATATTATATCATATTATATATAATATAATATTTATACTATATATATTATAGTATTTATATTTTATTCACTTTAATTTCATTTAAAAATAATCTATTTTATGTTAGATATAGTGATTTCTCTATCACTAGGTGAATTCTAAATCATTTGTGATGAAGTGGCAATATTAAGCTTCGGTCGAACAGGGATTTTATTTATTATGAAAAATCAAAATTATTCTCTGCAGGTAAAAAGCCGAAACAAAATCATCATGAATTGAGGCGCGGTTGTGAATTATTTGTTTTTAAAAAAAGTGTTGAAAATTCGCAATTTAGAATACTGAAATTTCATTCTTTTTTCTATTTAGTTTAGTATGTATATATTATATCATATTATATATAATATAATATTTATACGATATATATTATAGTATTTATATTTTATTCACCTTAATTTCATTTAAAAATAATCTATTTTATGTTATTTATTACATCAAAATTGAAAAAAAAGCACTTAAAAAAACAATTTTAATACATCATAATATAATATATTATATGATAGTATAACGCCAAAGAAAGAACACGTTAGGCGGAGTAGATTGGCTTCAAAAACGTTACATTGGATTTTTTATAAAGGGATCAAAATTTATCGTTCATTCATTTGTGCGTTATTGACGATAATTCATCCCCTACCAATTAACGAATTATAATACTGATTCATACCCCGTCCTCGGAAGTGTCCCACCTCTCCGAGGATCTCCACCATTTAATTGCTCGTCCGAAGAAATTTATCTTAAAGGACGCAAGACTCGATTGAAGAAAAAAATCGCTTCTATAATGAATAGACACGTCTGTTCGCGGATAAATATGCTAAGAGTGTTTGTAAGCCGCGAGACGAGTAGAAACCTGTTTAGATGATATAAATTCGTGACGAAATTTCATACGAATTGTCAATAGATGAAGCCATCGCTGTCGCGTGTGAGGGTTGAATAACAAAATTTGGCTATCTGACTGGAAAATCGGCGACTCTCGCGGCAATTCCAGCGAAATGGAGTAGATGACTCGCGAGTCCGCGGACAGGAACAGAACGCGGGCCCGCGTTCGCGAAATGCGAAGACAATTGATAGAATCGACGACTCCCAGGAGAAGAAAAATTACGCCGAATTGTCCCCACCAGCGGTCATAGGACACCTACACAAACACGAGAATTGACGAAATCGGTCGACCACTCTGGCACGTACGCTCGTCTAATCGAAAAGCGGGAGTCGATGGATGTGTGTACGGATGCTGCGTGCACGCTCCGCACCTCCACCACGTCTAACTTTTGGCAGTGGGTATAAAAGCCCGGGTGGTACCACCGAAAATTCAGTCACACAATAGGCGTCCCCATAAAAACATTACAAATCTCAACGCCAATCGTTTTTTTTCGGATACCACCATGATCTTCGCAGCGGTAAGTATGGAAATCGAGAGGTGAATATTATCGACGAGTCAATCTTGCGTATTCACTAAATTATTTTCAAATGTTTCCGTAATTGAGCGAAGGAACCTGTTTGCCGGTTTAAAAATTCAACTCGTCGGGGATTAAATTTCGTTTTTCGCAGGGGAATGGATGTTGCGTGAACAGAGGAAATTTTTTTCAATTCATTACATCGAACTCAAGAATGCAGGCTCAATCCGGTATTTACATTTTATGTGCAAAGTATTTATTGTCCACTTTTAGAAAATTCAGGGGAGGGGTTTTGAAGCCGCTGTTCTGCTTTGCAAGTGATGCAATGTGATGCGGATATTTTTTTATTTACTGTAATCTTTTGTTTAATTGCAAAAAAAGAGGAATTCAATTCTTACGGTGATAAAAAAATATAGGAGGTAGTCCACGCCAAATGAGTCAACCGTTGACCCTCGCCCTGTTGGAAATTGATGGCGATTTTTTCTACGATTGCGGTGGCTGAAAAACTATCTCTCAAATTTTTTCAGATTTTTTCGGCCGCCCAGTTTGGAAATATGATTTTTTTCTCGTCTTTCGGTTTTTTTTCGATAACTCGAGTTCTACCCATCCGATTTTGATCTATTAAGCGTCAAAATTTTTCATTTTTTACCGCCTATGAGAGTATTTTTAGTAAAAAAATTTCTTCGATCCTTAGATGCTCATAATAACGAATTTTCGAGAAAAAAAAAGTTGAAGAAGTTGAATTTTGCAAATTTTGTGCTCATAATTTCCCGGAGATAATACGGAATACGAATATACCGGTCGAAATAACATCTTCCATTGTAATGAATTAAATTCAGTAGCGAAGCGGTAAACCGGGTCAAGTCGATTTTGACAATTGGCTAGTTTTCGACGAATATCTCGGAATCTAATAGAGATAGAAACATTTTTGTCATGACCTTTTTCGTAGATCCAATCGAGGCCTATAAAAACCGTGATGAGAAAAATTTTGCCATCTCCCTTAGATCCCGAGATATTGACCAAAAACTGGCCGAAAGTCAAAATCGACTTGTCCCGTTTTGCCATTTCGCTGAATTAAATTCTCATTCGCGTAGAATAAAAAAGATTGTGGTAAATGGGATGACATTATTAACTTGTTAAATTCCACACCAGAAATTTGTGGCGATCGCGGCTTTCGTGGCGCTCGCATCGTCGGCCCCGGCGGGCAACGAGCCGACGCCCCCGGCGATTGTAATCGTGAGACAGAGTCAGGACGGACCCAACCCCGACGGCTCGTACTCCTACAGCTACGAGACGTCCAACGGCATCAATGTCGAGGAGCAGGGGTCCCTGCAGCCGGCGTCCAACCCCGACGCTGAGAACAAGGAAGCCAACAGTGTTCAAGGCAGCTATGCCTACCCCGACGAGAATGGCAACCTCATCCAGGTGACTTACACAGCCGGTGAAAACGGCTTCCAGCCGGAGGGTGCGCACCTTCCAGTCGCGCCTGCCGTACCAGAGGCCATTCTCAAGGCCCTCGAGTGGATCGCCGCACACCCGGAGGAAGATAAACTGCAGTAACTCGATTGGCTAGATTCGCCTATCAATCGGCCCCAAGAATTGCTCAAGCTGCACCTATTGTTTTTTTTGTTTTTATTTTTATACGAAGGGGAGGGTGAGGCAAAGAGGAAAAAATATTTCACTCTATTGAAAACAAGAACTGTGCGCGCGCTTTCGCGCGCTTATCTACTCGTTGTGAAAATTAATAAATCGAATTTATTAAACTTCATGTACTCATAGATGTTTTATAAATATTGATAATGACTTGAAGAGAATTAAGGGAATGGAGAGTGAATCATCAGTGAATGATTTTTAATCTTCGATTGATTCTTTTTTTTTACTTTTTAAAATAATCTGATTGAAATCTGTAATTGCTGAAAAATGAGGGAAGGGTTGTGAACTGATTTCCTAGAAAGCTGAAAAAATTTCTTGAATTCTTCGGAAATTTTCAGTTTTCCAGATGACCGCAGATCCTCGAAAATTTTTCTCGAATTATTTGGGAAACCGAAGAATTTTCATGAATTTTGTAGAGTTTAGAATTTATGTATGAAAATCTGAGAAGCAAGAGTTGATCATTTTTGCGTGTGATAAATACGAAAAAATTAAAATTTGGCAAGTGAAGGATAATTTGTGAGTTAAAAAATTTAGAAATACTATTTTTTCTCATGATTAACAATTCGGCAATTTAGATCTTTTGATATAAAGATGAATTTCACACATGAAAAAATGATGAATATGACGCAGAAAAATTTTTTGGCACTTGAAGAATTTGAAAATGCTGGGGATTTTTTTCAGCGACTGCTTCACGTGACTCATTGACCAATCGGAATTGAGGATTAGCGGTCCGGCAGTTTCGAGATATTTCGATATAAAACGACTTCACGTTTCTCTCGTCTCCAGTAAATACAATTAAACTCCATTTTGCCCCACATGCCCCTGCCCCGAGTCCAAGTAATTTAGCCACCGGATACATATCTTTTTGAGAATAAAGCGGCAAATTTATGAACTTGAAATCCTGACATTTTTCATTCCTTATCTCCTTAATCACCGACGATCAGCGGCCATGAATAAAATATATGGGAAATTTTCATACACTCACGTGTCACGATCGAAATGCAGCTGCGGCTGCATTATCAAGCAGCGGGGAAAATAGCGCAACATTAAGAGAAGATGCTTAAGGCAGAGGATACGACCTTGACATATAAGTCGCTTGTATGAATCGCAGAGGGCTAATTTATTGATGATCAATGCAAGTGGTATTACGGTAAAAGCGTTAACTGATTTATTGAATGGAAGAATGTGGAGACATATTTTTTTCAGAAGGCCGCCACCTTCGAGATGACACAAGAGAGTCATTTATAATTGTGCACTTTCAATTATAAAATCCAAAGCATAAAACAGACGAACTACATCGACACGAAATTTTAGAAAAATAATTCTTCCATTTTTTGACACTAGCGTATGGGGCGCGCTACGCGCGCCTTTACCCAGTTCCGAGCAAATTCATGTCCGATTCAATTTTATCTATTTGTTCTGACCTTTTTTACTTTTCATATTTGATTTACAAAAAAAAAAAATTATTCTTATTGTCATTACTTTTATCGTCGATTTCACACTTTTCCTTTATTTTGTGATGAGTTTTTTTTCCGTCAATTATTTAGGAATTATTTAGTCATCATTTTTTATTTAATGGTCTTCTACTGAAGTTGATGACATAAAAAAAAAATTAATCCAAAAATTGAAAAGAAACTAAAAAAACTTTTTTTTTTAAATACAACATCATATTATATATATATATATATATATATTAAATAATGATATATTATATATTAATATTATATATATATATATATATATATATATATATATTATATTTTTCAAAAATATTAATTTTTTTTCTCATTTTTTATACGTGATAGCTAAGCTATGCCGCAAAAAACGGTGACAAAAAATGTGAAACTTTGAGGAAAAATTCTTGAAACAGCCAGAAATATGTCGCAGAGTCCGAGGCCAATTGACTGTTCAGTTTTTTGCACTGATCGAAGAATTCAGTTGATGTTAACGAGGTTCGGTAACTGTTACCGAATGGCGCTGTTGAATTAGAACAACTGAACATTCGTCAATAGTTACCGAACGATTAAGTTGGGGTGGGGTGTTCACCCAAATGAACCCCTCGGTAATAGTTACTGAATGATCAATTGATGTGAAAACAGTTCGTTAATGATTAATTACCATTAACCGAATTCTTCCATCAGTGTGCCGAATTGACCACAAATCTCGTGTTCTTTCCAATGGAAGACAGTTATAAAAAAATTAGCAGAATTGTTAAGAGCGTGAAAGCGGTTAAAGGAAATTATGACAATTGAGTAAGCGTCCTTAAACGTCGTCGCCAACTCCTCGGTTGTTGCTTCTGCTCGGGGACCCGATGACATTTAACGTTTTATACACGTCGTAGAGCTGCCGCCACCGCGGCGACACGGTGATCCCCGCACTCTCTTGTTTTAAAAAAAACGGAGAGGAATAAAGAGTAAAAAAGGATGGTAGCTGAATCCCTGCACGTATAGCCATACCCATGATGTATAGATTTCGTATTACAGTTTTGCTGGTATTGGAGAATCCTCTCGGGTAACCAACTGCATGTACACATATATTAGTATTCTAATGTACGTGACGTATATGTTGTTTAAACATTGGCCTGCAGAACCGTTTGTCGCAGGGGACGAGTAATGGGTATTCGCTTGTTTTTGTGTATTGGTGGTAGAACATCCAGGGGGTATATATGCCACACGATACAGGGAGACGATAATCACTCCAACATTTGGAATTACAGCCGCTACAGCATGAAGACGTCGGTGGTAAGAGTTTAATTGTTCCATTCTCACAATGATTTTTCCAACCGCCAGTATAATTACAAATATTCCTCCTACTCCAGGCCATTTACCCTGGGGGAGGGGTGTCGTGGGATTCAATTTGACTATAGTATTTTTAAGTGAGACCACAAGAAAATGGGTTTTTTATGTTGTAAATAAAGAAGAAGAATGGGGGTTGTTACTATATTTCAGACACTGGTTAGGATGGGGGTCAGACTCTGTTGTGATTCGGCCATTTAAATGGGGTTTTGGGAATTTCTTGGGATAATTTAGTGTTTTGGTTGAGATAAATATTAATAAATTGCCCTGAGGAGGGGATATACCGCTCGAAACGTTGGCAAACAGTGGAGATTTGTGTTTTTCATTGAATTGGAGAGTAAAATCGCTGAGAACCGCAAAATGGTCTGGAGGAGTAGAGGAATATTTGTTCAATTCTCCTTAGAATTAATTCCCTGTGACGATTATTTGAGATATTTTGGCATTAAATTATTACGGCATTGAAACAATGCCAAGTTTCAATTGCGAGCTCAATCATCCCCATTTAAAATCGTTAAAATAAGTAGATTAAATATGAAAAAAAAAACGGCGATTGTAAATTTTAGGCGAGTGAACATTCAAAAGAGACAAGTGCAAAGATTTAGACTGTTGAGTTGGGAGAAAATGACTGACGCGCACTTTAACGAATGAAAAAGAACTGTGATGTTGCGGCGATGGGAGTGGACCCGAATAACGAACGGATTTATTGTTGAGAATAATATTTTGTGTGTGCAGATAATTGTGTTTGCCCTGGTAGTGGCGGTATGTGCGGCAGCCGACGAGCCAATTGCCATTGTCAGTCAGACTCAGGAGGGCCCGAATCCCGATGGCTCTTTCAAGTACTCGTTTGAGACCGCCAACGGTATCAAGGGGGAGGTAGTGGGATCGGTAAAGGGCGAAGGGGAGAGCGCAGCCTTGCAGGTCGAGGGATCTTCCTCTTACAAATCGGACGACGGACAGGACATAGTCCTGACGTACACGGCTAACGAGGAGGGCTTCAAGCCTGAAGGCGCGCACTTACCCACCCCTCCGCCCATTCCGGAGCTCATCCGGAAGGCGCTCGAGTGGATCGCGGCTAATCCCTCCAAAGAGGATCAGTAATGATGGGAAATCATAACGTCGAGATGGAAATTGGGTACTCTTGCCCTCGCGGGTACGCAATGACATGTCCTGTTGTGATTTTTTAACCGTTTTTTGGACTATTCAGTTCTGTTTGATTATTGATTTTGTTGTTGCCTGTCCCACCTCTATATTTATTGTTATTTTTATGTAATAGACGCGAATTTTCACTCGTCAAGCATGAAAAATGTTATATTATGAAAAAATGAAAAATATACAAATGTGCAATGATTCAGATGACGTGTTTTTATTGGAATATATTTGCGGGAGGATTACACCTGGCGGGGGGGGGGAGTGGTCGTGGTAATGAAAGTGTTAGAAATATGATTTTAAACGGTTTCTGCGCTGCCTACTGCGAACCCCGGAAGTTAGTCGTTAAGATCACGTTGTAAAAGAGACATGTTTTTTGATTGGCGTCCACTAATAATTGATGATTAAACATATTAAAGTAATGTTCAGTTGATATTAAAATACCTAAAGACTTTGATTATTTCTTCCCTTAATATCTTAACAGAAAGGGAAGTTGACTGTCATTGGAATTTCTCAGGAAGAGCCGTCCAAGAGCATCAGTCATTTTCGGAAATCATAACATCGGGGGGAAATCCTCTCTCTTTAAATTTGCCTCGCAAACGAAGAACTGTATCTGTCTTCTTTTTTGCAAGACAAGACGCAGATTTTAACCCTAGATTGGTCACCATGCGAGGGAATTGCCGCAACGTGTCGTTTTTTTCGTCTTGTCACCGGCTGGTTGACCGGAAAAATCCGAAAAAATTTGCATTCGTCAATTAAAGTATCTGGAAAATTTTAGTATTGTTTTTTTAATATTACATCCCAAATTCTGGAAGAAAAAAAATCATTTCCAACAGTTGAACAATTTTTTCCCATGTTAAATGAAATTGCCCGTTGCGCGACGTTGCCGGAAACTCGTTAAACGCGCCCGGGCAGTGTAGAGTGAATTCGGCAACGCTGGAGCCCAAATAACACGGCGGCAAATCCCCGCGGAGGTGACCAGAGTCGTAAGTTCCCGTCAGGTGGCCAAACTAGGGTGAAATACATTTCCTTGAAAACATTCTGAGGAGAAAATATGGAAACATTCCTCCCAGCAAATATCCTTCCGCCGCGTAGAAATAAATATAAGCCAAAACTTATAAGTGAGATATAGTGATTTTCCAGTGGCTTATGTGTGCACACATATCAGTAGCGCTAAACCAAGTTGAGTCGATTTTTACTTTTGGCCAGTTTTTGTTGAATATCTCGGAATCTAAGAGAGATAGCAAAATTTTCCGCATGACCTTTTTTATAGCCCGCAATTGGCTCTACAAAAAAGGTCATGACAAAAATTTTTCTATCTCTTTTAGATTCCGAGATATTCTTCAAAAACTGGGCAATAGTCAAAAACGACTCAACCCGATTTACCGCTTCGCTACTGATATATCTAACGTATATCTCAGATATTGCATTTTTTGTGAGATTGCTGGGACTCGAGCCCGCGCTTGCGATTGGGATTTTTAATCTTTCGGAAACCGTCGAGAGGGGAACGTGGGGTACAATGCGACACGGTTGGAGAGCACGTCGACCCATGAAACCACAAATATGTGAAAACTCGAATAGGGTATACATGGCAAGGAAAAATAAAAATAAACGTTGCAGTCTTCAATATCGGTCGCTACAAGAGTAGCGAGGAGGGGGGGGGGCAATTCTCCTCGACTGTCGGACAAGCCCTTCCCCAGAAAATCCATTCTTTTAGAAAATAGACATTCCGGGATCTGAGCCTGCCCCCTCCACCCATATGGGCCCATGCTGGCCCAAACTCAACTCCCATTTTTCCATTTTTAATGCCCCCAAGCCCTCACAAATGTACTAACATATTTTCCTGATGAGTTGGCATATTCCACATCTCGAATCAGGATGACGTACTCACTAGTAATCATCGCTGGCATTCCCGCGCGTGCCAGCCTTGACAGGGTCGACTCAGAAATACTCATCTTAAAGTAAATACTTTGGAATCACAAGAACGGTCGCTCGATTGCGATTTACAAGGAATTGGATCGAGACAATTCCCTTCGCATCGATCTATTTTTGTCCCCAATTCCCCCGAAATGTCTAAAAGTCTCGTTGAAACGGACGAAATGAGTAAAATTCAAAGCTTTCACATTCAGATTCTTTATTTACACAAAAATATGTTATATATGTATATCAGGTAATATATTAAAAATATGAGAAATCACAACGCGACATGGGGTGCGATTACCGCTGATTTCTGCGGGGAGAGAGAGGTCTCGCCCTCTCCTCGCCGAAACCCGCTCATCAGCCAAATCAACTGGCATTCGACGAATCCCGAAAATTCTCCTTTTCGTATATTAAAAATCTGTCGCTGAATTGCGATGTTTATTCTTTTTTTATTCATTTAACAAAATCGTTGGATTTTTTAAGGTGTGAGTCAGGTCGATTTTATCCGTATAACACAGGCCGGCTTATTCTTTTGGTAAGGTTAACGCGATCGATTCGTTCTCAAGGTGTGACGTCGCTGGAGCTGATTAACCTGACGACAGAAAGAGAAAGTGTCATTAACACCCCATCCCCAAAGGCCTAATGCAATTCCCAAAAATTATTCCCAACGACTTGAAAGAATCACAAGATTTCGACCATATTCTATGGAAGTGCCCGAAGTACCACCACCAGAGAATGAAATTAAACGAAAAGCTGAGAGCAAAGAACTGCCCCCCCCCTTCGCCGCAAAAAAATTTGCGGAGGCAACAGACTATAAATATGTAGAGCAGATATGTAATTTTCTTAAAGAATGTGATTTAAAAGTGTGGAATTATAAAAAAAAATGTTATGCTGGAAGGGCGAAAAATGAGAATGCTATGAAATATGCTAAAGCAATAACTGTTATAGGCGAGGGTCTACACCCAATATTGTTGTAATAAGCGGCAGTGTAAATAATTCAATTGAGAGTTGAGCACTTCAAAGAATGAAAACAAAAGGGCTCGAAAAAAATATGAACCTCTTGGGGGGGGTCTGTTGGGCTGGCCCCCGTCGTCTTCCTCGGGGTGAGCCGCGTTGTACTCAAGGGCGCGCTGGATCTCTGGTGGAATTGGAGGAGTCGTTGGCAGATGGGCGCCCTGTGCTTGGAAGCCATTCTCATCGGCCTTCCACGTGAGGCTGATTTGCTGGCCGTCCGGGGCTACGTAACTTTCCGCCCCCTGGGACACCACAGCCGTCTCGCCCTCGATCTCCTTCGGCGCGCCCGACTCCTGGTGGCTGATGCCGTTGCTCGTCTCGAAGCTTTTCCAATGAAAAAAAACGTCGATGGTCAACTCAAACGCATTTTACAATCGCCACTTTTTACTCACTTGTTTATGTAATTTCCGTCAAAACTAACTTCAAGCTGCTGCGACGTTATTACGGCATCTTTATCTCCACTGCCACCACCTCCACTACTTCTCTGCGGGGCTCCCCATGTCGCGGTCGCGCATATTGCGACCGCTAATAGTGTCTGGGCATTGCAAAAATGAATAGTAAAAATCGGTGAATTGCCATTGCGAGTGGTGAATCGGGTTCCCCGATGGGTGAGAATTTGGCGGGAATTCGGGTGGAAATGGGGAGGTTTTACCGATGTCCAGTGATAAGATGAGACTTCCAGAATGACGATTATGAAAATAATCATCGACTTACCTTAAACGTATACATAATATGTCACACTTGATAGTTGTACTCCACCAAAGAGATTGAGACGAAGATGAGATGGGTACTTGTGTCTCCTGGTCATGAGGCGAGGCTCTTTATATACACCGGGGCCTCCAGTGTGTCAGCAACGCGGTACAGTGAAAGGGGTCATCCCTGCTATTGCTGCTGATGCATCTGCGTGCATCTCATTTTTTTTCACATTTTTCATATTCTTAATTTCAAATTGCTCGTTTATTTTCATTTCAAGTCGAATCTACTATTCATCATGGATGGCTCTGTCTCGGGGAGAGAGAGAAAAGGATTTATTGGATGTCCTGGGGTGTACAACGACCCCTAAGGACAATCACGAGATTAAATACAAGGTGTGAGAGATAGCCTACATGGGAAAAAACATATACTTGATGCAAGTACATTTTAATATGTGAAAGAATATAAAATGTGGGGAAAACCAACTAACTTGGGTTTTTTGGGAAATATATTTGAGTATATTATATATTTGATTCAAGTATACATATTCTTGATTCGAGTATGAAATATCCTAAAATCAAGAATAATATACTTGAATCAAGTATATTATATACTCGAATCAAAAATAATGTACTTGAATCAAGTACATAATATATTTGAATCAAGAATAATGTACTTGAATCAAGTACATAATATATTTGAATCAAGAATAATGTACTTGAATCAAGTATATTATATATTCGAATCAAGAATAATGTACTTGAATCAAGTATATTATATACTTGAATCAAAAATAATATACTTGATTCAAGTATATTATATACTCGAATCAAAAATAATATACTTGAATCAAGTATATTATATACTCGAATCAAAAATAATGTACTTGAATCAAGTATATAATATATTCGAATCAAGAATAATATACTTGAATCAAGTATATTATATACTCGAATCAAGAATAATGTACTTGAATCAAGTACATAATATATTCGAATCAAGAATAATATACTTGAATCAAGTACATAATATATTCCAATCAAGAATAATATACTTGAATCAAGTTTATTTTATACTCAATTCAAGTATATTTTGTTCCGTGTAATTACAAATCCAATGATTTATAAAATAGAGTATAAGAAAAAAAATGACTTGTCGACCATTTAAAAGTAGACAGGCGATAGCCTGAATATCGAAATATTAGTTTAGAAAACACTATCATGAATTTATCTAATATAATTGAGATTTATCCCGATGTTTTCACAGAACTAAGGCCCACGCAATAGCGTCAGTAGAGTGACATGGGCGCACCCGACAAGATGACAGGTATGTGAGAACAGTTGATATCAAATTAAATATCTGTTAGATATAACAATTGCGGAATATTAACGTTCCAATAGTGCAATAGAATTTATAAATTATAACAATTTTAAAGTCTCTCGTACAAAAAGTTTGTTTGTTCGGATATCAAATTATTAACTATTTATCATCATCGACCGCGGGGGAATTCAATGCTAATTTTAACTACAAGGGAATTGTCAAAGAAATTATATTTACAGTAGCAATAAACTTTGTAGATTAAAGTTAGGGATTGAACTTAAGGATTCATCGCTCGATTTACTATGTCAAATAGTGTCATCAACATCATGATGTCATTTTCACTTTAATGTAATAGTTGAATCTACAATGTTTATTGCTACCGTAACTGTTATTTTTTTGACAATTTAGTTGAAATTACTATTGAAATTTCTAGAAAAAAAAATTTATCTATTTATTTTTTAATTTATTCATTTAAAAAAAATTTTTTTTATTTAATTTTCTAGAATTCTAGTACGAGTACTGGAAAAAATCACAATTCACCGGCTGTGAAAAATTCTAGTGCTGCTTTCACAGAAAAACGGGGAAAAATTCACGTTTTTCCCAATAAAATTTCCGGGCATTTTTTCTGGCCGTGACGGGCCAGTTTTTAGTGAATATCACGGAATCCAAGGGAGCTACGTCAATTTTTGTCAAACCCTTTTTTGCAGCACTCAATTTGCTCCAGAAAAAAGGTTATCACGAAAATTGCGCCATCTCCTTCAGATTCTGAAATATTCTTCAAAAACTCAACTACGAGATGAGTCGACTAAACCGATTTGCCACTTCGCTGCTGAATTTGTCTAAAAAATTTCTCTCCGAGTGGTACTGGGGCATTTCAAAGCGCGGAAAATGGCCTTTTCGCTGTCGTAAATAATTTAATGACAAAGTACCATTCGACGTATGACGTGTGCTTTGCTGCTGTATCTAAGGACATCCTCAACTGCGAACCTTCGGAGATGAAACGAGTAATACGTAATCTTAACATCCATACACACTGTGTTTAACATCGCAAACAGCAATGTCTAGGTCACGTTGCCAGGCATTGCTATTATCCATCGGTGGATGAGGCCGATCGGCTGTTGTTATTCATCCGGATATGACTGATTAATCATTGGCCATGTGTGCTGTAATGCACCGCGGGCCCGTCGAGCCTTCCTCGCGGCGTTCCGCGAAAAGAAATTCGAGGAATTGTCTGAGCCGC